CACACACACACACACACACACACACACACACACACACACACACACACACACACACACACACACACTACCTGACTCACTAGGCTGTGTCCTTGAAGGGGGCCCAGCAGGCTGAGGAGGGGGTCTCTGAGATTAACCCTTCCCTCCCACCCCCAAACTACAGGGATTCCACCCTTGCTGGGACCCACACCCTTCCCCCCACCCAGCACAAGGACATGGCCTAGCCTTCCCCCACTCCCAGACTCCCGATCCACAACCCCATGTTTCCAGTCCCCTCTCCCAATCTTTCTTGCAGACCTTTGGGACCCCAACGTGTGCTATGGGCTGTTGGCATCTGTATCCAGGCAGACAGGAGCCTGCAAAGTACACCACAGTATGTGTTCCAGGTCCCCCAGGGCTCACTCCTTTGCTTGTTGAAGGCTGCCTGCAGGTTAAGTCATTTGAAAATCAGCTGCTTAATTTGAACGTGTTTGTATGCAGCCACAAAAAAGGAGAGCTGGAAGGAACCTCAGGCTGTTTCCTAGTCCAACCCCCATCTCAAAGCAAGATCATAAATCATTGAAGCCACTTGTTTGTTTAACCTGCAAATGATTGGAAAAAGGCAAAGTTCACTGCTATTGGAAGTTCACTGCTCTGTTAGGACCACTGTGCCAGGTATCTGCTTTGTCTGGTTTCCTTTATTTTGAACAGGAAAAGATGGTGGGCTTGGTCAGACCACTCCCTGGCTGTAGAGGTTTTCCTAAAGCAGAAAAATGGTACTGAAGAGCAAGGAGAAACATGTTTATGTTATAGGAATATGATAACACAGTAAGCAATGAAACGGGTCGTTTCATCCCTGTGCTTCAGCTTATGCACCTGTGGAATCTACCTCAAAGGTGTAAGCAATAGTATTCATGTATTTGCGAAAGAGTCCTGTATGGAAAAAGGCATGATGAAAAAGCCAATAAAGCTTCAAAGTGTTTATAGATCTCTGCCAAATGTCTCAGGGTCTCCTTGTTTGAGACATCAAGTAAATGGATTAATCAGAGTGCAGTAAGTGCCTTAACACATGTACACATTCAGTTTCTCCTAGGAGAGTTGCTGTTCTTCCCGCAGCCACAAGTGTACAGATGCTCAGGACTTTTCCAGAGCAAAAATGGCTACTTGGGGCAAAAAATTATTTGGGATCAACCAGGATTACATCAGTCCTGAGGGAGTTTATCCTTGGCAAGCAAATGTCTATACCACTTACCTTTTAAGAGAAGCCACAGCAGTTCTCCAACATCCAAGAGTGCTTTGCTCATGCCGGTCCTCTCTTCCCCACCCCAAGAGATAATGTGTCGCTTGGGCTTGGACTCTTGCTCCAGCCCCATAGGAAGCAGAACACACCCCATCACAACCCCACATTTTGCTACAGGGAGATAGTAAAAGTCAGGTGACTGATGCTTCCAGCCACAGGAGCGTACTGGAGTCTTGCTGAGCTCCACTGTGCTCCAGGGCTGGGAACACTGATCAGCTGACTAGCACTCCAAACCACCGGTACACTACACAACTGGCTTGCTACCTGCTGGTGCAGGGGTAGTTTGGTACATCCTACACTGGCAATAGGCAACTGGGATCTGATCCCACCGTCATACCCCCTCCCACATACATGTGGCATGGCAGATGCAATTGTTGAGACTGATGATCAGATTGAACCTAACGCCACTGGCAGGCATTCAGTTCAGGGTGAGGTCAATGTAGCTTCTCTTCTTTTAAACCTGCTTTAAAATAGGTGGAAGCCCCAAAAAATAGCAAGAGACTAGTCGGATGTAATTGCTTTTATTTAAAAACATACTAAAAGTCTGTTTATAAATGCAGTTGTTCAACATTACATCTTATTTTTCCCAGATGCAGATGATGTACACATCAACAAGGGATCTGATCTTGCTGAAAGTAGTGCTAAGCACATCCATTTCGTGGACTGGAACCCATGAAACCTACCTCAATACTTTGTATTTGGCACAGCTGAAGTCAGATGAATTGAGATAAATTGTAGGATACCGTAAGAGGGAGCCAGGGTTCCCGTTACTCCTAGGGAGAAACGGCAGTAGGGATATCTCCAGATTGTAGGGGCATTATGGGTTGGCTGCAAGGGCATAGGTGGCCAGGGGCCCAGCCCATAGCTTATGATTACTTATCACAGCTATCTGCACAGCAAATCAACTGATAGGGCAGAGCCCCACTTAAACAGCAAAAGACCTTCAATAGAAACTAGTATAACAGCAGTAAGCAGTTGGTTAGACCTAGGTAAGAGCAGATGTGCCAGTCTTCACATGAATGAAGAGGCCCCACCCTCCATGAAGCTTAAAAGGTCAGACCTGGAGAGCAGAAGGAAGTCTGGTATGCTGCAGGGAAGAGCTGCTTGGGAGACTCTAGCAGGGAGACGAGACCCCTACTGGAAGATGGCTGGCTGAAGGTAAGTAAGTTTCTTTCTTTACCCCAAGGGGGAGAGGTTTCCTTTAAAAAGATGGTGCCTTTTTCTTTCCTTAAGTTAATTTGCCCAGAGGGGGAAGGTTTTATGTCAAAAGGTTGCTCGTTTCATTTTGTTTGCACTCATTTAGATTGGTAGGACTAACAGAGAAGAGGTCACAGTGGTACCCACCAATGGGGTATGTGGGTGCTTTGGAGCCCTGCCAGGAATTGGGATGAAGATGTTGACAGGTGGAAATGGGGAAGGGTTAATGCCTAAGCCTGGAAAGGTGGTAGAGGGGCCTGAAGCCAAGAGGGGCAAAACTAGGGCCAAAGGGCCAGAACTCAAGAGGGGTGAGGTAGAGATGACTTGAAGCCAGGAGAACTCAGGCCATAGCTCAAGGGGGACCAGAACCAGCAAGAGGGTGAAAACTAGGGCCAGGGGCCTGAAGCCCAAGAAGGGGGGGAAAAAAAACAGCCCAAAACTATTAGATTAGGGCTGACACCCACAAACTGAAGTCTGGTGACATGGCCTTAAGGGGGCCAGCTAGGGAAATGGGGTGGAAGCCACGAAGGCCAGGGCCACAATAAGGGTATAGAGGCTTGAGGTGGCCTGAAACTGGCTTGTGGGCAAAGTGCCTCAGTAAGTGATGACTGGTAACATCTGAGAGACATAGGCATGGCTGTAGGAGGTCAGAAGCCACAAAATTAGCGCTTATGGCAATTGGTGTGCTAGAGCAGTGGTCTCCAAATTTTTTGATCGCGCACCCCTATCAGTAAAAAATTTTTTGAGCACGAACTCCCAATATATGTATATTTATTTATAAATAATATACATGTACTACTTGCGTACCATACGTGACACGTGACTGTCTGCCATATGGACTGAGTGAGGGCGCCAGTGTCAATCTGTATATTAAATATTAGTAAAGCTTAATTTCTTCTTTTTTAGATAAAAAATAAATATTAATAGAAGTTTTAATATTTTCTTCTCGCAACCCAATGGATCGTCTCGTGCACCCCCTGGGGTGCATGCACCCCACTTCGGAGACCACTGTGCTAGAGCATGGACTGGCTGGGAGGGCCCTACCTAGTGCCTCAGAGCAGGATGGGGGCTGACGGGGTTTGGGAGGAACCCAGTCTGGTGGCAGACAAAGGCTTGCTCTGGAAACCTGGGGGACAACCTCCCTCTCTCCCAGTAAAATACTACCAGCAAGACATGGCAGGTGAGAGAGCACAAAGGGAGGATGCCCGGAGAGCTAGAGCAAGGCACGAGTCGCAAGGCCACGAGAGAGTTATGGCCACCCCTGGGGATCAGTCCTGCTACAGATACCATTTTAAAGACAGAATTGTAACCCTTGTCATTTAATTGGAATATAGTTGTGGTTGGCTGTACATGCATGTGCATTTAAAAAAAGCAAAATGCAGAGTGCAGTGTTCCACTTGCCCTTTAAAAATTCACTGGTTTGTGCCCACATACAGTACCAAAACTAACTAAAGACGCAAAATAAATAACTCTAGTAAGTTAACTGAAAACAGGCAAGATTAAAAAAAAAAAAAAAGACATACAACGAGAGATGCCCAATGCATATAAACCACTCTGTATGAATCTCTGGCTAAGTAAACAAGAAATCCTTGAATATATACCCAGATTCACACAGAAAGGGAAGTCATTTCCTTTTCAGAAGTTCCATCACTTGGGAACATGTTTTAACAGTCGGTGCTCTGTGCATTCACAAGGAGTTTCAAATGTTGCTATTCCTATGAAGCCTTCTCCTTGCTTCCCAAACTTGAAAAAGAGGTTTAATTAGCTATGGATTGGTTTTAATTTTATGCAAAAAGTGCACTGAAAGAAAACAAAACCTAAGTCTCTTACCCACTGCAGTTCTAATGAACTTTATGAATACTATCAACATGCCAAGGCTCCACTTGCCAAGGCTCCACTTCTTACTAAGGCTATAGTTAGTACATGGTCCCATACTTTGCAAATACACTCACATATGTAAAACTTGACCTAAAATAGATAGCTGCCTATTACTCTCTCAGAAAAATTGTACTATATATTGGCATTTATCCACTGTTGTACAGAAAGGCCACCACCTTAAGTTAGAAAGTTTCAGGTATGCTTCACTTAATCTCCCAACAGTCTCTGCAGTTGTACAACTAGGTTTCATAAAATTCTCTCATCTTGTTACTTTAAGACTCCTACTAACACAGGCTATGAGGTCCCAGTCAAATAGAGGAATTGTATTTTTTTTTTTTTTAACAAACTGAATATGCAAGCTTTTTTTTTTTTTTTTTTTTTTAACAAACTGAATATGCAAGCTTTTTTTTTTTTTTTTTTTTCTTAATTTAACTGGAAAACTACTAGCAGTAGCCCTTGGAATTTAAAAACTGAGGGGACTGGAACATGGTAGAATTGCACTTATTCCAACAAAACTCTGTATTTTATAAAGTTAAGTGCAAGCTTTTTAGTGGAAAAATAAGTCTCTAGGATGGAAAACAGGACAGCAAAGTATTCAGCATTACAGGCTGCTAATTACAGGCTCACTCTGAAAAAGAACAGTTTCAGATTTAACTAGAGCTTCTTTAGCTATTTATGATTCAGGTGAAGCAGTGATAACATGTTGTTTCTTTAACTATAAATAAAGAATTCCTTTATACTTTATAAAAAGAAAATTCACTTGGCTCTTCAACATTACAATTGACCTCTCTAAAGCAAATATGGGAAGATAAGTGCCTTCTGAAAGAGGCCTCAAGAATCAAATTAACTATATAAATAAATTTCTACTCCCTGCATTGGGAGACTGCTGCTGTTATGTGTTCTCCAAAGTAGAAAAGAAACTAAAGCATAACAAGACTTCTTGGAAAACACATAACAGCAGAGTGTCCCAATGCCTGAAGAAGGGTGTTTGTGCCCAAAAGCTTGCAAATAACCTTTTTTCCCCAACTATTGAGTCAGTCTAAAAATAGGCATCACATCTACCCAAAGAACCTTGTCTGCCCATGTCCTTAGACAAATACTGCTACAACCAACTACTCTTTGCAGCCACACACTGTCAGCAATGAATCCCACAGGGCAGATGCATGCACACCCCAAATTCTGAGTTACATTTTTTGGCTTCTCTTTACAGATCAGAGCTACTGCTCCACATTCAAGTCACAGTAAGGCCCAGCAGCATTCAAGAACCTACAAAGGAAGGCACCAGTATGCTAACTGGCATGTACAATCTGAGTTGAATTAACTTTATTTACTAAATCTATGGGGACTGAACTCAAGCCAAAAGGTCCCTGACAGTCCTCCATTCCTACTGTTAGAACATTAAGGGAAAAAAAACCAAAAGGCTTTATCCATCCTAGCCAAACACCTGCTTGATCGAACAATCCATGTAAGTGTATGCGATCTGAAAATAAGGGAAGTTGTGCAGGACTTATTTTGCTGTCTTTTTATGCAGAACAGTTAAAGTTTTTGTCTGGTGAGCAATCCCTTAGGAGGAATGGAAAGTATGAAAATGGATACTATTACTACTTTTTCCAAAAGACAGATGCATTAGGGGCAATACAAAAGTCCCTTTAAGTTACAAAGCTAGACTGTGGCAATTGCTTAGATTTAGAAAATGCCCAGTACATGAGCAATGACATACATGACAAGGCCCAAAATTAGTCTGGGTTGCAAACAAAACTGTCTAAGAGGGAACAAACCTTCACTCTCAACAGCGCCGCTGCTCTGTTATAAATAGTAGCACAAGACTTATTTGACAGTATTCAAGCTGCAAAATGACACATAGGAAGGTGCTTAAAGTGCTCAATTAACTAAGTAATAAATAAATTTAAAAGCTGAACATTACCAAAGCTATCTGCATTAACACTGTTACAACTTCATTTCACAGTAAATACAAACACCTGGGAATGTCCAGAGCATGATGCCAACATCATCCCTATCCTGGGTTCCAATAGCTGAATTCCATTTTTAAGTAATCAAGTATTCAGGGTCTGCTAATAAAATTTAGCAGAAGAGAAAAATAAAAGTGCATCTCTGGTGGTAGTATGTCTACATCCAATCTCCAGTCTACAAGCCGATCAGAGGATGACTTCATGTTCAGTAATTTAAAGTTGCTAGTACCTTCAAAAAGAGAAACAGCCAGAACACTCAAAACAGTCCATTAACGCTTTTAACTGGGATAAAAATCAAGATGGATCCAACATGGCTAAGACTGGACTTTGTTTGTTGGGTAAGCATGCACTTATGAATGAAGTGTTGTGGAGGAGTGAAGGATGGAATGTGATGATAGCAATGAAGTTCAGTTGAAGTTAGTTTTTTGTAAATGCTTATTAGGAATTTCTATAGCACTGACTTGGAGAGGCCAGGACCCTCCAACAATTCCTGCTTGGATAGCTACACCTATTACAACTGCCAAGTCAGGGTCCACAGAAGTGTTTGGCTCCTTTCCAAAGAAGTCTCGAATAACTTTGCGTATCCGGGGAATTCTAGTGGAGCCCCCTACTAATACAATTTCATCCACTTCTGTTTTGTGAAGATGTCCTTCCTTCAACACCTGCTCAATAGGCAGAAGAATCTTCTCAAAAAGGTCCTCATTCAATGTCTCAAAGAGCTTCCTTGATATTTCTGTTTCAAAGAAAACTTTGACAGTGTTGCTCTGCATTTGTGAAAAGTCATTGTTTAAAAATTTTTTCATACCATCTTCCTCTTTTGAAGGCTTGTTTTCAAAAACATTATTCGTTCCTCGCTCTCTCTCTACAAGTTCTTCTAAGTCCTTTCTTTCTGGCATGGAAAGATACACACTAAGTGAAGCAGAATTGTGAAGAGTCAAATTTAACTTAACTGCTTCCACAGCTTGTCTGAGTCTATGTATTTCTTCCTTCTTGGAAGGCAGAGAACCATACATTTGGTGTATCTGTTCATATAAATACTGAAGTATCCGGTGATTAAAATCTTGACCTCCAAGCTTGTTGTTCCCTATGTTAAGAAAAACAGTACATCTATTAGAAAAGTCAAAACAAAGAATTAGGGAAAGGGGAGGAGGGGTGCAACATGAGGCAATCAGTATTTAACAAGAACTCATGGAAAAAGGAAAAAACACTACATTAGAGTGATCCATTGTATGCTCTACCAATAGTAAATGCTATAGTCAGGAACTAGGGATGGGAATGGTCAAACATTTTCACATAACTGAAACAATAATGCCTTACTGGTTTTTGTTTAGCACAGGGTGGGGAGCAGTCCATTGGGGAATGGTGGGGAAGGCAGAGGGAGGGAAGAAGTGCAGTGCCCCTGAAGGCAGTGGCAGGAGAGAGGGAGGGGACTAGTACCTGGTGCAATGGGGAAACAGCATGGGACACACGAGGGGCCTGATCTTTCTTATGACAGTGCAGCCCTGGCCCCTCCCACCATCTGCCTCAAAGCATGCAAATACCCACCACTGGCAATTAGCTGGCCAGACTTCTGCAGGCCCTGGTGCAGCGACTTGGAGCTCTAGCTCCTGGGCAGCAGTGTGCCAATGACAACAGCAGGCAGGGGGCTTTTGCAGCCCACTGATGCCATGTGGAGAACAAGTGAGTACAAGCAGGGGCAGATCTCCTACAGATGCATGTTACTGGTTAACCATTTACCCAATAACATTAGGGAAGTTTAAAGGGATACTCAATCAGTATTTACACCCCTATTATTCATCTATGGCTGTGCAGGCCAGATCTGATCTGCACAGCCACATTATCCAGTCTGTAGAGACAGGAGATGTTACAGTATTTCAGCTATGGGAGGTTTTGGTAGCTGCAGCAGCAGCTCTACAGGAAGAAGTGATGACCGTAGCTGTAGCAGCACAAGCTATGTTGAAAGTAGCCTATGCTCAGAGCTGAACTCCATTAAAGCAGACCCCCACTGCAAAAGCACTGCCAACCCCCTGCTAGACGCTACAGTAATGGGCTTTGTAGGAGACTCACCCCCAATTCTTTTCTGTGGTCCTAACTTGACCATAACCATAGTTTCAACAGTTTTCAAAGGGAACTCTGTGCTCTTCCTATATGTTTATACACAGCATCTTGGTATTTCCTCTAGAATGGACAATGCCATTACAGTTTTCCATCTTTTGTTTGAACTAAAAAGAGGAGTTAATATATTAGACAATATGTGCCTAAATGAATCATGCTGAAATGCTCAGTTATATTTTTCACTGTTCTGCCTTCACTGGCCAGGGCAGCAGGCCACATCAAAGCTCATTCAGTCAAGGCAACATCATCAGTAGTATTCAAACTCAGATCTGAACCTAGGTCACCTGCAAAGAAGTTATATGTTTACTACATAGTTTTACTAAGTGTTTCTGCCAGAATTCTTTGCCAAGTGATGAATCAATTTGGCATATTTGTGCTACAAAACCTTTCTGGGGTAACAGCATGTGAGCTCTCCAAACTCTGAACATCTGAACTGAAGCCAAGCACAAGAGGGGACTGTTCTAAGTACCCTTCAATGATTTGACAAATTCCCTCAGATTGAACCGATTCAGGCAGCTGAATGCTTTGAAACACCACTAGCTTGAAGCAAAGTAACTGTGGCATGCACGAATGCTCATATTACCTGTTCAAGTCAGAGAGAGAACTAGACTACAGATCATTTCTTTAGTCAGCCAATGCATGAAAGAATTTCTCCTAAATAAAATCAGTTACAAACCTGGCATCAAGGATAATAGCAAAAATCCCTTGGGACAAGCAGCTCATTCAAAATTTTAAGATATTCTCAAAAAATTCATGATGTCACATATAATGCATGTGTGCGTGCATCCATTAGCACAAAATTTAAAGGAAGTTATGTTTTTTTATTTTATTTTAAAAGAAGCAATTTATTCAGTTTAGCCGTAGGTTCACTTATCCTTACCTGCCATGGCTCGCGTCAGAAACATCCCTCCTTGTTTGTTCAACAGAGAGACATCCAATGTTCCTCCACCCAAATCAACTACCAAGACGTTAAACACATCAGCTTTGTGGAGACCATAAGCCATAGCTGCAGCAGTGGGTTCATTAATTACCCTCAAGATCTCTAACCCTACAAAAACAAGAGTTATTAATATTATCTTTAAAAATCAAACATGTAGTCAAAACTGTAGTTGTTAGATCAGATTAACAGATGCCATTAGGTAGCATCAATAAGTTTGGTTCAAAGAAGAACAATTCCTTCCTATGCTTTCTCTTTATATTTATCTACTTTCACCTTCTGTGTTTATTTTGGAATGTTACTCAGTTCATGCTTAGTAATAATGTACAAATAACGTATTAGTTCATGCTTAGCAATAAGACCTGAATGATATAGACCTGAAGAAGAATGTACTGCATTCAAAGTTTGTTTAAGTATCTCAAATCATGAAGTTGATCCAATAAGAGAGATCACCCACAAAAATGCTTGCCTCTTCCATATTTCCTAGACAATCATGGCTACAACACCACCCTAACTCGATCAAATAATTCAATGCATTTATTGCACAAGAGAGCTGCTGGGGAGTCTATGTAAACATTGTTTATTTGAGTTTTAAATTATTCCCATAATTCTCCCTGCAAGTTTCAAAAAAAAAAAAAGCAGCTATTTCCTTTAATGAAGCTTGGAGCTTCCTGATATCTGTATTTGCATAACCAGCTGCACATCATTTCATCTGAGACTACTCTGCTGTTTTTCATGCCTGCTACTGCTTGGTGAAATGGATTTTAATATTTTCTACTTTTTTTTGGTCAAACAGCAAGATAATCTTTGGAATTCGAGGAAAATATCAGAAAGAGGCATCACCTGCAAGGTTAGCTGCTTTAATAGTGTAGTTTCGTTGCCTTTCATCAAACTCTGCTGGCACTGAGATAACTGCCTTGGAAACTGGCATGCCAAGATTCTCTTCTGCCATCTTCTTCAATTTCAGGAGCAACTGAGCCCCAATATGCTCTGGGGTGACACTAAAGGTTTCATTGGTTGTAATAAAAAATTCAGCTGTCCCATTGTTGCTGAAAATCTGAAAGAGGAAAAAAAAGCAACACAACCCATAAGTGAGAAGTGGAAAAAAAACACAACACCAAAAATAGTTCCTTTCTTATTAGAGAAACCAATACTGAGAAGTTGTTCTTTCATGCAGAGATCACCAGTTCAATTCATAATGTCACATGACACTCAAAGTGCTAGACAAAAACATTCGGCCTAAATCAGTTTTCTTCACCTGCCATTGGAGATAAGTGAAGCTGAACCCAGGGATGTAGATCTGACCCATGGAGCCCCATTATCCAGCCCCCAGTACTTCCCCCTATACTTCACCACATACTCACAGGAACAGTCCAAGCATAGCACTGTATGCAACCCCCACATCATTCTGGGGCAGGTGCTACGCGCAGTGCATGCAGCATCACACAGGAGCTGTGTACACTGGAACCGGCATGGGGCAGAAGGGTGGGGGTTGACAGTGGTCCCACACCACTCATCTGATCCTGCATACCAGCCCCACAACAAGCATCCAGCCCACAGGGACAGATGAGTTTGATGCCCCCGACTTAAGCCATTAGGCATGTCTACAAACTTACCATGCTGGGCAGCAGCACACCTGGACATGCCATACTGCTCTGCACACACTCCATCAGGAACCCAAAGGTTAGCCACATTTCCTGCACAGTGCCACACAAATAGGCACCAACTCTCAGCAATGTTGGTTAAGCTGCCTTCAATGTTGTATGCACATACTTCTGGTTCAGAAGCAGGATGGAATCCTACAGACTCCCTGGTTCAGAGGCACAAGCTTTCTTTCATAGGCAACATACTTCATCAGATGCTAATATGACTAACTACCTGGGGTTCAAAAAATAGCTACATGGAGCAGCGCACCATTGTCTGTGCACTAAGTTTTCAATGTAGATATGCTCTCAGAGTACTGTGCCCTAGTCCAATCAAAGACATCCATGTGTCAAAATCAGCAGTTATGTCACACTACCAGAAACAGTGCCATAGCCAAAGAAAAGTAATTTTTTGGTAGCAGACCCTACCACCCTCACCCACAACAATAAAAGCATTCTGTATCCTTCTGTATTTACATATTTGTAAGTACATCTCATCTCACCAGCTGCTGAATACTAATATGCCTGTAAAAAACACTGTACAGAGGTTGCCTGCTCTTATTGTTTGCAGGGTCTCAAGAAAATAGTTTCTGATGCCTGAAATGGCATCCTTTACAATTACTATGTTACAAGAGTTTTCCAGTTTTGAGAAAAAAAACAGCTTGTGGATTTGCTACGAGTTCAAATCCTTTTCTGCTGTTAATAAACAACCCTTAAATGCATAAATGGAAAACTGTAAGACTTAAAAGACTAACTCCATAATCGAAGGAAATTAAAACACTGGGTACTACATAATATTTTCATTTTAGGAGTTTAGTGGTTTTATCTAGAGGTGCACCAATAGATCAGTCGCGTATCAGACTGGCATCGATAACAGGAAACTTAACATTATTGGCCATCAGCTTTTTTTGGCCAACATCACCAATAAATGTTGCACGCATCGATGCAGCCACAGCTGCAGCCGCAGCATGCATGCAGCCAGTAATGCAGCCCAGCAGCTTGGTGTAAGAGCACAGGAGTGGGTAGGGGCATGGAGGGGCTGATTGTGGCCCCAGACACTAAGGAAGAGAGTGAGGCAGGGGCAGGCAATGCCCAGCCTTGGTGGCGAATGCAACCCTGGGAGCAGGATCAGCCCATGGACAGCTTGTCCAGGGGGTGAGGGGGGGGGCAGTTCCCTGCCGCTGCACATACACCCAAAGAAGGCATGGGGGACAAGGGTCCCCCAGATTTGTCCGAAGGGTGAGGGCAGGCTGCCTGCTCCAGGCTTGGGGCCAAGGGCTGTGCAGGCCTCTTCCCAGCCGGGGGGCTGGGCCGGAGGTGCGCTCGAGGCAGGTGGGGTTGTGTTGCAAGGGCGGGCTGCAGGGGGGGCTATAGCCACCCCAAAATTCCCTGTAGCTACCTCACACCCCCTGCCCCAACATCACTGCCACTGCTCACAGCCCTGGTTCAGTGCCCCCACCAGGAAGAGGCCGGCACAGCCTCTGGCCCTGAGCCTGCATCGGGCAGCCCACCCTCGCCCCACACACAAACCTAGGGGAGGCACATGCCCCCAATGCCTTCACTGCCGGAGTACAGCAGCAAGGAGCCGCCCCACACCCCCAGACAATCCATCCACAGGTCCGTCCCGTTCCTGGGGCTGCATTCACTGCCCTGGCTGGGCAGTGCCTGCTGCTGCCCCACTCCCTCCCTCACAGTGGGGGTCTTTGATCTACCCCCCCCCCCCCCCCCCCCTTTCCCCCCCCCCCCCAGCCCACCACAACAGACTTACCAACTGGAGGCAGCTGTGTCCAGTGTCCTCAAGGACTGTTGCCCGTTTTAGTCTATGGCTGAACCTCCGAATCAGTGATGAATCTTCATATCTGATTTGGCCAAATTGAATCAGGACAGTGATTTGAATCACCAAATCAAATTACTGTCCCTCTGAATTGGCCAAATCCGAATCGAATACTTGCCGCTTTGCACAGGCTTACTGAGAATCACTGCTATACCCTCTAACCAGAATACTGTCATATTGTGTGATCTCAGTAAAATTGTACCAGACTTACTCCAAGAGCTCCTTTTGACCAAATCCCACCCTCCTTGGTAAGGCAGTCATAACC